AACGCCACAGCTAGGAATTCCCTTGTTTTTTTTTATGAAATAACGTAGTAAATCAGAAGTTGATCTTTGGTGTGAATATTTGATTGATTTTTTTTTCTTTCTTATATCTTGTCTACTACTTCACCTACCATACCGATGTCAGAATGAGTTGATACTGATAGAAGGTCATTCAAAAACTACAAGGTGGGCCAAAAGAAGTCATCCGATGTTATTTGGCCCTAATTTTTTTTTCAAAATGAAAATCTTCGATTCTGTTTTTTGATTATGTTTATTTGGACCTCTAGAATTTTATTGGTCAAGTCGAGAAGATGATATCGGCCAAATGGGCGCCACAATTGATTACTCTACGGGCTTGTTTTATGGCATTTTTCATCACTTCGTCATGATCTTCGGGCGACAGATTCTGGATTCTGGCACTCGTGTCGAATGTTGTCCTTGAGGCTTCCAGGGTCTCAGGCTTGTTCACGTAAACACAAGACTTCAAAAAACCCTACAAAAAAAGTCTGAAACGGTTAAATCGGGCGATCTTGCGGGCCAGAGCAAATCGCCAAAACGAGAGATGAGGCGATCTGGGAACGCCGCCTTCAGAATATCGGTTGTGGCTCGCGCGCAGTGTGTGCCGTTGCTTCGTCCTGTTGAAACCACATGTCCTCCAGTCCTGATTTGGTCAATTGCGGCAGAAAAAATTCGGCAAACATGGCCCTATAGCGCGCATCGTCCACTGTTGTCGTTTGACCAGCGGCGACCTCGAAAAAAATGGCCCGATGACTCCTCCAGAGTAAACAGCGCACCTTGCAGTCACTTTGAGCAGGTGTAATGGCTCCTCGTGCATCATTCGTGGATTTTCAGTGCCTCAGAATCGATAGTTCGGCTTGTTCACGTACCCGCTGAGGTGGAAATGAGCCTTGTCGCTCATTATGATTTTGGTCGAAAAATCGTCCACGAGATTGAGGATGGCTTGGCTTGGATTATTCCGCTTTCTTGGGGAGTGTATCGCTCCATGACTTGTTCACTTGTATTCTACATCTGTCTAGTTCACAAATGTGATCTGACATTGGCCGCCATTTGCAAAAATAAGAGCAACTTCCAATAGGGTGATTTGTTTTGGCCCACCTAGTACATGATAATTTTGCAGAGTCCTTGTGTAAAGTATAACGTTCAACTATGAATAAAATTTTCAACCGGAGATTTCTCATTCCTCAGTAGCCACCAGGAATTGCAATTTTTGTTGTGGATGAATAATTAATATTCCACTAGCTTTCAATTTTCCAGTCCTCCATGTGGAATTCAGATTCCGCATTCAGATTTATTTTGTTGTCATTCTTTTCATCCTGGTCCAGATATTGGAATTTTCTCACCAAGTGCTCGGTTGCTTTGAAGTCTGAAGAGCCATCGCGAACGATTACGCAGCTTGAGAGGCACTCCATTTTCATTTTTGATTCGAGGAATTTCCGCCACATTCGTGTTCACTGATTATGATAATATTATTCAAAAGTTCCATCGCAAAACTTCGACAGCTCCCGACCCAGAATCGCATCAAGCTATAGCGGAACCCCATATTGATTATGAATTTCACAGAACTTAGACGGAGGCTCTTAATTCCCAAAGAAGTTACGTATTACTTTGGAAGTTGGGTATTTCTGGAATACACACCTCAAATACCTCACCCTAGGAGAAGTATTCGCATAACCGTCAGAGCATGGGAATGTTTGGTTCACTCATAAATAACTGAATCTCATGATAGGTTGGAATGTGGTTGGAATCATGTTTATATTACAGTTTGAAATTTCTGAACAGGTCTCGATAATTGATTCCTCGAGACGTTGCTTCGTTTGATGGCTTGACAATTAGAAACTGAAGTAAGGGAATCCATTCACTGTATAGCTACATTATGACTAACTTAGACCTGAGCACCGATTCAAGACTATATTTTTCCGGAGTAGAAGCAGATATAATGTCTAGCTAGCACATATACATATGTTCCAGCTAAAATGTCCCCTTCCCCCTGTAAAAAGTCAACCACGCGATCGAATGACTTGGAATTCGGTCACCCAGAATATTTGATGATGCTCAAAATATGCTATTGAATGAATCGCAGGTATACAGGGTCACACCGAAGTGCACCTTAGCTTTCCTATTTTAATAGGGACACCCAGTATATTATTCCATATTCAAGTAGAATTCATTAGGGGTTCGATGGGAAGATATGGCAAAAAATAAAACGATTCACTGAAAAATTCTTAGGATTAGATTTTATTAATTTCTCTCTTTAACTCTTTTGATAACGTTCATTGTGACCCTATGTATCATGTTGCGATCAATTTGTGCGCATAAATTTGAGATTTTCTCTTTCATTTCTTCCATATTCACAATTGGCGACTCATAAACCTGTTGTTATGAGCAGCCCCAGAAATGAAAATCAAGTGGGATGAGTTCTGGTGACCGAGCTGACCAGTTGCTATCACCATTGAGACAATTGGTGCTTATTAAATTTTCTCCAAATCGATGGCGAAGATGATCCTTTACGGGTCTGTAGTTATGTGCAGGACACCCATCATTTGACATCAATCGTGTTATAATAATAAAATCTAATCACATAAATTGTTTATTGAATCGTTTCATTTTTTGCCATATCTTCGTAGTCGTTTGAAAAAATCCAATCGAATCCGACATTGTTGAATTTGTAATGATGAATTCTACTTGAATATGGAATAATATACTGGGCGTCCCTATTCAATTAAGAAAGTTGAGGTGCACTTCGGTGTGACCCTGTATACCTACGATTTATTCAATACCATATTTCGAGTGCGCATCATCAAATATACTGGGTGACCGAATTTCAAGTCATTCGATCGCGCGGTTGACTTTTTACAGGAGGGGACATTTTAGCTAGGACACGTTGTACAGTGGCCCAAAGTTCATCAGATTCTTAGAGTTTTCTTTACTTATTGTCTCTATAAATATAAATTTTAGAATTATTTTGATACCGGTAGTAGGAATGAGTTGATTCACCTCAGAATGTCACTGTACTTAGAATTTCTCTTTCATGATACCTAAGAGACAAAACAATCGCTAATCAGTAACAGATTGTTAAAAAAATATTCATAATAAAAAGAGTCCTTCTTCAGATATCAAACTGATGATTATTATAATTGAGATGTATCTGTGGAATCACGAATTCAGAAGCAAACGATCAAAATACTCCCAAAATGTTTTCGAGAGAAATTCACCAACAAAAAAATTATAACATTCTCATTCTCAGCAACTCAGTTTTATTCATGATGATTTCAGAAGAAAACTGATAATGGGCTTCAATTTTAACGAATCAAATAGAAGATCCAACGAAGTCAAACAAATATTTCCAAATTATCAGAAATCAGAAAATTGAACAAATAATGGAAAATATTTAGTACGCCAAATCATGACAATTTGAATGATAAAACTGAAAAAAGGGAATTTTTTTATATTTCAATTTATACTCATTCGCGGCTGTCAAGGTGATCATTTGACGTTGCTATGACATGAAAACTACGGAAAACATGTCTTACTTTCAATCTAAGCCAGGAATTGGGAATGTTGGCAACGCCAGATGATAACCTTGACTACCGCGATAAGGTTTTGAATTACAAGTATTTTGTCAATGTCACCCTGACTGTACAGTATATACAATGATTACAGCAATACTCCAGGAACTCGGACGTAGGTGACTGTATTATATCTATTTGAAAATATAATGGAATATTATCTTATAGATCACATTAACTTGGAGGTTATCCTGTCGAGAGGGCTCCGATCCTAATAATCCAGTTATAGAACACAACATTCCTCGCAAATACCTACCAATAAGTTAATTTCCATAGAAAATGTATTATGCTTCGTACCATGATTTGAAACCTATGGACTCTGGAGTTCACCCAAGAGCATTTGCTTTTCACAACTTGTTGAATCGAGCAATACATACATTAAGGATTGGGCGGAGCAGGCAAAGCAGAAACAATGTTAGCCAGATTTATGTTTGTGAGTAGCTAGAGACTCCATGAAATACCGTTTGTATAAGTCATACATGATATATTTTTTCTCTGAATCCTGTTGGTATAATATGAAATATGTTAGTTATCTTATCACTTGAAATATTATTTTGTCTACTGTTATTAATTTGTGCTCATTCGGTTCATGAGATATAGTCATTGAGAATATCAAATTGTCACTATTTCTATGTGCTTATATTTTATTTTGTTGTTATTGTTGTTCCGATAGGTGTATCATAATCATGAGGTCGCCATTCAAATCATTCTACATGAAGTATCTGGGGGTTGATGGGTGAGGGTTATTTTGTGAATGTTTCTAGTTCCTTCTTCGTATCCTAGAACCCGTTCTGAGGATCTTTTTCGCTTTACAAAATACTACTTGTTGAGTTTTTTATCAAACTGATATGAAACCATTGAAAACAAAACGATAGTTACTTATTTCATAAGATCCAACTATAGATTGTGGTATTCAAAATCAAAATTCCTTATAGGTCATCTGAATTTTTGTTGCTGCATTCGAGCGATGATAGTTGGATGATAAATTTTCCGTTGGTTATATCATTCTACACAATCAGGAAGACCTTCTGAAGTAATTATAAACCATATGGAATCGACCATGGGACACGAAATGAAAAAACAGGGATGAGGATGCAGCAAATCAAAACACGCTCTACATATTATAGATATAATACCAAAAATCGAAACAATACTGATACAAAAATTTGGTTATGACCCGTTAGAGTATGAAGACATGTGTCCGAAGTAGTCCTGGACTGCCTCTGCATATTGCTCACATATTCATTACTTCCAATTCCATTGTAGCATCCAAAATCCTGAGATCCAGATCCAGAGATCAATAATTAGGATAGTTCGATAGTCTGAATTACTCGTATTTTCGAAGGAAATGTCTAATGTAACCTTTCCAGATCGGGCCTCATTTGCGAACGTAAAAAATTCGGCCCGATAACCATATCAACAATGATTACTCACCAATACATAAACAGCAAACGGCATTACAACGACAGCAACAAGAAGATCAGCCAGCGCCAAACTCACGATGAAGTAGTTAGTGGCAGTCTGGAGGGTCCTCTCCCTATAAACACTAAGAATCACGAGTACATTCCCGAACAATGTAAAAATAGGAAACAAAACTAGAATGAGCGCCCAGTAATTGCGGTATGTTTCCAGCACATCCTCACTGACACATGTGAAATTGGAGGAGTTAGTCAAGTAGCTGCAGTTGAACAGGTGCCTATCATCTGTGCTGGGATCAGTGTCGTTGGTGATTTTGATCCTGCTGAAATACTGGTCGATATCCTCGAAAACCAGAAGGTATGTGTCGGATGATTGATTCTGAAGGTTAGTGCTGTTGCTGGCGTTGTACCAGAACATTGGGTCTTTCACCGTATTCAGAGTTTCCGCAATCATGCTGATTACGTGATTGGGAAAATCGGAGACTGGTCTAGCTTCAGAGGAAGCCCGTGACTCTGAATTTTACATGTTCATGCCTGCATAAGGAAGAGTTTGTAATGGAGATGACCCTCAAGTCATCCCGAACTTCAGAGCGATCATCATCTGGAAAACATTATTATTTCCGGTGTCAGGATATCACTTATCATAAAAAGGTCAGGACAAGAACTTCTCACACAAAATCACATCGGGTTTATTCGTGTTTGGTATCGTGTGGAATTATTTTATCGAGTCTTATGATCGCGCGACCGACTCGCGATTGGGACAGAGCGTTTGTTGACGTGTGCGTTTGGAGCGACGGCCGAGAACGGTATGCGCCGCGACGCTAGCGTCGGAGGATATAGACGCGCAACGACGCCGCCCTGTCTGTCGTACCATTCTGGACCGGCGTCTACGGGAGAGGACACGTGAGAAAGAATTACCGATGGATAATTTGGTCGGGTTTGATTGATTAGCGGTTGGCACGAATAATTCTCGATAATAAGGGGTGATGTCGAGTACTTCATAAATTCCGCTATGTACTTGTTCTAGCATGGGTACCAGCATAAACAGGGCACGAGGGCAATCAAGAGGTAGCTTCACTTCGAGCAGGAGCAAGTAAAATTTTGAGTGTTCCAGAACCCTTCCAGCAGATCATGGATACTAATCAGATCAAGAGAATGGTTCGAGATAACCCAATCGAACCCGGCATCGTTGGATTCGTTATAATAATCTCTATCCAATGATGGAATGAGATGAATTGTGTCCTTTAGTGAGTAAAAGCGATGTTCAAGATTTCGAAGTCGCCGAGGTGGCGATGAGCGCTAAGGCGCGATGATTTGGCTTAAAAGTCATACCTTGGTGTGGGTTCGATTCCCACGGCCTTCTTTGGAATGAGAAAAACGGTGACTGGTTGTAGTGTGAATTAGGCGATGCTGTCCTTCATACACACGTATAATTGGTATATACAATATATGTACGAAATTGTTCAAACATTACCTGATCTGGAGAAATTGACAAGAGTTGAAAAGGGTAATCAGGAATTTGATGAACCCTAACCAAAAAGCTGGAAGAAGCTTGTGAAGCATCAAATGTCCTACAATTTCGATTCTCGAACATTTGTGTAGGTCGATTCGTTATCGAGATATGGCGCTTCGAAAAAGTTAATTTTTCCAAATTCTCTTAAGAATGAAAAATATTGCAGAATTCAACCGGATGGCAGTCTTCAGATTGTTTTCGGCAAGTGCAATGGAAGCTGTCGCACTCCAAGCTTGCAACTGATTTGAATTCGATTCCCACGGTCTTCTTTGGAATGAAAGAAAAACGGTGACTGGTTATCGTGTGAAAAAGACAATGCTGTCCTATAAACACACGTATAATTGGTATATACAATGTATATACGAAATTGTACAAACAATACGTGATCTGGAGAAATTGACAAGAGTTGAAAAGGGTAATCAGGAATTCAATAAGCCCCAACCAAAAACAAACAAAAAAATCCGTTTTATAGCTAGAAGAAGCTAGTGAAGCATTGAATGTCCTACAATTTCGATTCTCGAACATTTGTGTAGGTCGATTCGTTATCGAGGTATGACGCTTCGAAATGGAATAGTTCTTCCAAATTCTCTGAAAAATGAAAAATTTTGCAGCATACAACCGGATGACAGTCTTCAGATTATTTCCGGCAAGTGCAATGGAGACTGTAGCACTCCTAGCTTGCAACTGATCTGAACAAGGAGGTCTCACTAGACATATGAGGCCTGTTCGTTTGATAAACTGAGACAAGTATGGAAATATCTAGTGATTGCAGCTGATGCTACTGAAAATATTAGCCCTCACTATAACAAAAATCTCATTTTTTTCCATAACAATGTAGAAATTATGTTGAGCCAGTTCACTTTTCGTGAGGCACTGTATGGGCTACTAACTCGGCTACTAAATTTTTTTTCATGTTCTGGTTCCCACGAAAAGGGATATCTTGTAATGTTCAGAGAACCAAGGGAAAGGTAGGAATTGGTGTTCTTCTCAAATTTCTGGATTATATGCCTCAGGGAAAACCCCCCTTGGCAATATGTTTCAGAGCCTCGCTGTTCGTTGGATGCACGAGTCTTTGGAAAGAGATGTTCTGCAGGTCTCCAAAGTGACCACGAAGGGGTGCGAAGCCTCAACTCGACGGGTTAATCTCGCGGGGACTGCCAAGGGAGGAACAATTGTTGATATTTCAGAAGAGCATCGTCCATGAAAATATCTATGGAATAGAGCCAGATCAATAAAAAAAATTTTTTTTCAAATTTGCCGTTGGATTATTTTTACCCAATTGATCGTTAGACATGAAACAGAAATTTTTAAGGGTAAAACTACATTTATCATGCAATGTTTTTTTTCAAAATTTTTTCTTGGTTCTTACGTATTTTTGTCTGAAAAACATGAATTTGATAATGAAAATGTGAACTAACCACTAGTTATCAAGATATTTCAAGAAGAAATTCGAAATTTCGCCTTCTTTCTCCCCTTGTGTTGGGGGCTACTTGCTCTTCTTATTTTGTCATTGGACACTTTATATTTTTTACATTTCTATATAGAAAATTCAAACGGAAATATGATTTTTATGGCGAATTTTTCATATTTAGTGAACAAGCATTCCAGATGACGGCCATTCAATCAATATATAGTCAATCAAAATACGAGATGTCAAATGTCAATAGATTCCTTTGGAATCACATTACAGACGCTATTATTTTAAATGATATTCCTGCTTTTCACTAAATATGGATAAATCTCAAGAAAATCATATTTATAGTTGAATCATATAATAGAAATAAATGTGTCATACATTGTGATATATATAAATTGTCGAATATGATGAAAAGAGAAGGGAAAATTGTTCTAAATGCCATCCAGAAGACAGGCGATAAAGAAGGTGAAATTTGTAACTTTATAGTCAAATATCTTAATAAATAATGGTTTGTTCACATTTTCATGATCAAATTAGAGTTTCGAAAGTGCCGGAAACATTTTCTAAAAAGAACCCATTGCATGATAAATGCAATTTTGCCATTTTGAGTAGTGTTTGTAGTACATGTTAATATGATAGTTGCAATTTGATCGTTGGAATGCATTTTGCATTCATTGCCACGAGGCAAATGACCGTTTTCAGATAGAAATTTGAGAATGTATTGAGTTAAAAATGCCCGATTATTATGGACATCCAAGAAAATTTCCTCGAATTCAGAATTTATCAAATATAATATACGAATACAAAACTAATTGCACAATCAAAGCTATTCTCTTTCTCCTCTACTCATACTCTTTATGAGAGAGTAATTGTCTTCTATTACAAATTCATCATTATAAATTGAGCTCTGTTTACTACTGTACTTAGGTGGAGTAAAATTATCGAGGTGAATTGCATATACCCACTTTTTCGATAGTTCCTCGTCCAACGGAAAACTAAAAGCATGAACTGTTGGACCACCCACATAATTCCCCCGATGAAAGGGAACAAAACACTCGAAAGGCATTGTTATTTCGCCTATCACAACACAAATTATTTCACAAAACAGTAATTCTTCCGCCAATTATTCTGATGAATAAACAACAAAAGAATTCGGGACCGCTTCAAAAACATACGTGAACCACCGAACATGAATCAACACGAACTGACGCGTTAGTCGACAAGCGATAAAATATAACACTGGCCTCTCTTAGGTGACGTCACAAGATGTTTACGTCAGAGTCTGCTGGCCTTCTAATCTCGATGTTAACACTAATGGCAGCTTGATGGAGTCTGCATGTTGCCCATCTTGCTCTCTCTCCAGCATTATGTGGAGAGGAAGTAATCCAAGGAGGGCTTCCATTGCTGCCGTTGGCGTGGAGCAAATGGCTCCAGTGATCGCCAGACACGCTTGTCTCTATAATCCGTTAATTTCAGCTTGTGCCATTTTTTATTGGCCCTTGCTCCACCAGACTACAGAGCCATACGAGATTATTGGTCGTATTACGGTCACATAAAGCCAGTATACTTGTTTTGGTGACATACCCACATGGCCAGCAGATCATCCACGATCAGTGACCACAGCAGAGGGAAGAGGACCCCCCCCCTCCTTTGAGGGCAGCCCCTGGCAGGTCTGAAGCTGACACTTCCCCCTTGTAGAGAGGTTGTTATAGTTCTGCTAGGAGCATAGTTCTTATCCAGTCACATAGTATTGATTCAATTCCTCTAGAAACAGTGGTCTCTTATTCGCTTATTCTTGAGACAAAGGTTATTGAGGGCAAGTTCTGTTGATTTGCTAGCCTGGTAGGCATACTGATGAATATTGAGGGCGCAATAAATAAATCTGGGTAATATTCTAGATGATAATTCTTGCAAATTGTTATATCATGCAACCTCTCTTCCATTTGAGATCTTCGGGGTTAGTCTCACCCTCGCTGAAGAGTTTTTGTTCAGGTAGTAGAGCTGGTAATAATATGTTTCCCCATGAATTGACTGGTCCGAGCGTTTTCCTGATGATCACCCTGTATATATCTGAGTCACTCTCACTCATATTCCAGTACACCAAGCTACATGAGTCGATGTCCTGAATGATAGAATAAGACTATGGAATATCATTTCCCTAGATTTTGCCCTGATTCTGTCATATTTTCATCGAGTGGAAAAAATCGTCTGTGGGTACGATACGTCATGAGTTGAATAACTAATTTTACTAGAGTTGATTTATCAAATAAATTCAATTTATGTGGTGAATAAATTGCATTGCACCATTGACCGACATTATTTCCTCCCAACATATCTTTCCACTTTAAGATACGATAAGCATTCAACTAGGGCGAAATTTACATAGTGTCATTAAATTTGTCTAATATGGAATATGTGCTACCATACTTGTTATTCAAGTGTTTTAAATCCCTTTGCCCTTCGTGAACAAATAGCTGTTGATTATGGTATTTGAACAGTTAAATCAGATTGAATTAGTCCGCCA